CTTAAAGACTTAATTTATTGATTTATTAAACCCATAGCAGCCATAGCAAATTCATATAAAATGTTCAATTTATGTAAACATTCAAATATCAACATTAGTAATATTTAATCAACATGATCTAATCAAAACAAATTGACAGAATCATTTAGTCCAACAAGACAGTTTTATTTACTATTAAGATCCTTACACATAAATGAATACATACAGTCATTTATACAATCTTATGTAACTATCAACACATAATTAAAGTTAATAACACTAAACTATCAAGAAATATTATCAGAGTTTACTGTTAAATGTTTTGTGATATTTGCTTCTGTATTAAGACACTAGACTTAGGACACCTAAAATGCATACAGAAGTTATTTGTTCATTGTTACAAAAGAAATTTGAGTCTCATAGACAATGTAATATTTGAAAAATGAGTTTTAGTTAGTGAAATAACATTTTAAAACTGATCTTTCATAACTGAATTTCCTGTAACTTATGTTTTACAGTGGTTTTGATTATATGGATAAAGATTATATGATTATATAATAAAGATTTTATGGATTTTCTAATACGTTCAGATTTTAAAATAGTTCCGAAAAATAAATAGCAGAACCTCTCTTAATGAATAAATAAAGTTAAAAGTCCCGAGAGATTTATTACAATGTCCTTCTCTCCTATCTAAATCATAAAGCACATTAAATAGAATTTAGCAAGGTTTGATAAGATAAGATGTCTTATTTGCAAAATAAACATAACACCGTACAGATACTTAACAGTAATCCTTAGGAACACTCTTTTGCCTATTGTTGGATGGATTAATTTTGTAGATACAATCAACGAAACTTGCAATTTTAACGGGTCTGGCTTAGGGGAGGTACGAATGAGGTATTAGTTCAAAATTCATCCGTGAACAGCGCTGTAGTAGAGAGCACTTTGGCAATGAAGGTTTACTAATCGCAAAAATAGTTCTGTTCATAAAACAAAATTATAAATGCCTGAAATTCAATTTTATAATTTTTTATAAAATTAAACTATCATAATCTAACCAAACTAACAAAACTTGCTGATAATGAAATAATAAAACAAAAGTTTACTAATAGAAAAAATAAAGGAGATCAATGTCAACCAGTCACATTACACCCAATTAGTGACTGTCCATAGTTTAAAGTTCAAAACACCTGGATAGTGGTAGTTTTATATCTACACTCCTGATTTCATTAAAACTGAACTGATGACTTTTAGCACACACGGAAGTATATATATATATAAATAAGACTGGACCAAATATAAATTCTCAAACTAAATCCTAATTTAGAAAAAAGTACTTTTACCACATAAGAAATTACGTTATCATCCGCATTTAAGACTAGTTAACACTGAAAAACTGTTTCTCAACATTTTCTTCCGCAGATTTATTGGCGAGGAGACAATGGGAGCGGAGAAACTTACGGACGCACCAACATGGATCATTGACCCGATCGACGGTACGACCAACTTTGTGCACAGGGATGCCAACTGTGCCATCTCCGTGGCGTTCGCCGTCAACCGTCGGTTAGAGATCGGCATTGTCTACAGTCCAGTACGAGACCAGATGTTTACCGCACAGAGGGGCAAAGGCGCATTTCTTAACGGAAAACCCATCCATGTTTCAAATGTCACAGGTAACATGATTTGTATATTTTAACGTTGAATTTAATTAAATTCTCGAAATTGAATAAGAGTACAGTGAGTGAGTGATTGAGTAAGAGTGGTTTGAAGTTTAAAATAGAGAGATGAATTTTACTACAAACAGGTTGTTATAATGAATGACTGTCGTGTTCTATTGATAATAAGGTTACCTGTTCAATCCTATAAATTCTTTTTTAAGTTCAAAGTTAGACTTTAAGCTATCTTTTTTGTTTTATTAGTTAACAAAGTAACACAAGGCATTTGACAATGTCATACTTTTTAACACTTGATATCAGCTTTAAAATGCATATCTAGCTGTGTTCCCTAGATGTGTGCTAAGCGTTTTATTAGTGCAATAAACACTTAAAAAGTCACACATTAGTAAGACTGAACAGTAAATCATCTGACTTTAATCTCAACTTTTCATTAAAAGTATGACACGAGATAAATTGTCATAAAATGGATTAAAAGTTGCAATATTTAGGTAGGCCTAGTAGAAGGTCGTGTTAACTTTGTCGTTACTATCTAATCAAAAACAGAACAAAAGCTGTTGTAAAATGTGCAATAACAGCCATGAAAAAGTGTTTAAATAACTCTTTGTATTTTGAAGCCTTGGTGTTATTCTATAAAGAAAGTGTTCAGGACCTAGTTACTTTAATAATAAGTTATCTAATAGGAATGATAAAAATACATCGGGTGAAAATCACAGGACAAGTATAGGTTTGTTTATACATTTATTATTATTAATTTGGCTGTGCATTAAAATAATTAGTAGTCTAATATTAACTACTATTTTTCCAGATATCAAGAAATCGTTAGTTGGCCAAGAAATATCGTTGGCACAGTGTAACACCATCAAAGAAAAATTACTTAAGAGGCTATCTGCAGTGGTCTCAAAAGCACATGGGTAAGTAAATACTGTGCTGCGTACAAAATTGAAAATAGTAAATTTAAATAAACATATAACAAAAAGTTTAAAATAACAAGAAAAGTAGTCTGCTTGGGTGGAAGTTGTCAAGATCATCAGTTTTACCTTAAATAATGTGCTTTGCTACTTTTTATTTGACCTTAGGCTAAGTGTGTGTGTCCACAAAAAAATTTGTTTTATAATTATTTATATTTTCTTTTTGAGAAAAGAGAAAAACATGATCAAAATAGCCATCTTTTAATCAACGTAAAACCCCCATAAGATTAAATGATAGCTGAGTAGCTTAGTGGACACGGCCCTAGCCTAGTTATAAGAACGTTGTTGGTTCAATCACAAGAAAAATTAGAAGCTTTTTGATGTGTTTAAACTGGATGAAGCTGTTCTTGATACAGTAGAAGCTTGCTGATCCGCTAAACTGGCCTGTTTGGCTCAGAGTGCAATCAATGACTGCCGTTAGCGCCTATTTCAGTCAATCACCTCAATTCTGCCAATTGTCTCTACTCTGAACGCACTAAAATTGCTAATAACCACATACGAAAAAAATCTAGGACTTTTAAACCGTTGCTGGGTGATATACACTCGGATCGGATGCCGGATATAAGGAGATTTATGTAAATGGTCTTATCTAAGAAACCAAGTTGGTCTTAGTCGATAGAAAAAGCTATCACCTCTTTATGTCAACACGCATACTTCACTCTTCAGTCTTTACCTTACAATGTGCACCTCGGTGTACGTTGGCGTGCTATAAATACACTAACTAAACTAACTTAAAGTGCATGTTTATGTAGACCTATATTTTCTGAAAGTGGTAAATTAAAATTATGGTCTTCAAATGACAACCGCATAGAGGCCATGATTTACCCCTTTTACAAATTGGTTGTAGAAGTCTAACACACAGTAATTGTTTTCATACACACACCTAGTCATTATACAAGTCTTGATGTGATCAATGTGTCCGTTGCAGTGTGAGGTCTATCGGCACCTGCGCCATGTCGCTGTGTTACGTAGCACTAGGCGCTTGGGACGCCTACCAGGTGGACTACTTGTGGCCCTGGGACTACTCAGCAGGCGCTCTCATAGTGGAAGAGGCCGGCGGCGTGGTGCTCAGCACCGATGGTGAGTGGCGCAAATTGGAGTGCCTACTTATGTCCGCAGCGTGCAGCGTTTTTTTTCAATCATTGTAATAATGTTGTACTTCTGAAGTCGGATTTGTACAGCAGCGAGCCACATTTAAAAAACTTTTCCTCTTCTAGGTCGAAGATTAACTCTTAACAGCCTATAGCGAGACGATCGGCTTCATATATTTGATTTTAAAGGCAGTTTATGATTTACAATAAACCGTTTGTTAACTAACCGGTCGATGTAGCTTCATATATTTGATTTTAAAGGCAGTTAATGATTTACACTAAACCGTTTGTTAATTAACCGGTCGATGTAATCCGGTTGACTGTAAGTTAAGAAATGATTAGGATACAAAAGGTTTTACACATTGTTGCTTGTGTCATCAAACAGCAAATAACCACTCCAAAAATTTAAAAATGTTTAATAGTAGACGTGATTAAAATTTATAAGTATTTCAAATGTTTTATATAGGCTAGATGAAACTCAGAAAAATACTATGTAAACTATCCACAACTAAGTCACTTTTTACCATGATATTATCAAAGTGTAAATACAAATTATTGTACAGGCTCCATTGGGCTACGTAAGTTTCATTCAAATATCTATAGTAATGAATGTTACAGTATATTTTTCCGCAGAGTGGCCATTCACCAGGAACTCATAAACATTCGCTTAGAAGCCAAACTTTAATGCAACGGAATTGTTTCCAAAATGTGTCAGATGAAAATGTGATCATTTCATGATAAAAACTGACCACATATCAAAATGTTTTTCAGGTTCCCCATTTGACGTAATGAAGCAATCGATCCTCGTCACTGGCACAAAGCAGCTCGCTGAAGATCTTATCAAGACCTTCAAGCAAGCAGATTCGTCCTAAAGTTGTATAATGAACGACTATGTAGATATTAGTGGCTAAGAAATTCTGTTGATATTATTGATTAAGATACTAAATTTTAATATTGATTATTAGTTAATAAAATTGTGTTTTAATGAATGGACACACTTAATTGAATTATCCCTTTTCGGTCTATTCCTTACCTCCACCCACCCCCTGCCTACAATGTCGGCGCTGGGTAAATGCCAGCTTAACGTGTAACGATCTAAAAAGTTCTTTCTTTACTTAAGTTTTCTTTCCAGTTATAGGTAGTGAAAATAATAATAGGCCAACAACTACATTAAAATAAATGGGTCTAACACAAAATTTCTATCCAGATTGAAAAAAAAGTTTATAACTTTCAAAATTGAAGATAGCAATAAGTTAAAACATAGTTACTCTGGGCCTGAGGTCTACCTGTACGGGAGGTTGTCCCTGCGGAGGTTGCCCCATGTTGTGTTGTGGCTGGAAAGTTTGTGTCCCTTGCTGCATGGCAGATGGTCCATTCATGTGGTTCATCGCTGGAGCCCCACTGGGCGGTCCCTGGTTGTAGTTTGGGGACATGTGCTGCGGCGGTCCCATGGCAGGGGTGTTGGGTGTAGGGGAGGGCATGGGAGACGGGGCTTGCTGTGGAGGGCCCATGGGTGATGGGGCCTGAGGCGGGGGCATCGGGGACGACTGGGGCGACGGACTCGCCGCCATCCCTCCTCCTTCACCCTCCACGGTTGGTGGTTGTTAATACCTGAATTGAAACCACACAATGAGTTCTGGGATTATCAAATACTTTCCATCACTTGACCATGGCTCTTAGAAATATATAAATAATTGGCTCTTAGAAACACCTTTATTTGACTCTAGTGAGTTCCTTAAGACCTGTCCACCTGTAATTAGGTAATGCATGGTGTGTGCTTTTTTTTAACTGCTTTTTGATTTTTTTTCTCCAAATGTGCATGGTTTTAATCTGATTTATTTAACTTTTTATTTTGTCTGCTATTTGACTTAAACTAAGCATGGTTTGATTTTATTGTTAACCAATCTCTGATGATTTTTATTTTATTGAATTATGTATTGACATAGCCTATTATGTAATGTTTAATGGTCAAATAAACAATTTGAATTTGAATTTGACCCTACCTGAATACAGACCATAATAGCGGTCATTTTCTTTGGACTTTATATCGGGGAGAAGAAATTAAGCGATAGGCCTATATTGAACTGAATCATAATCTCTCGCTAGGCCTAAATTTCTATATTTGGTAAAACAGAACCTATACTAGGGCCTACTTATGTTATATTGAATTTTTTCACCTTATATACCAAAATTGGCTATAACTTATTTTAAGCACTTTTTAGGCTACGTATGGCACTTTTGGGGAAACGACTATTTCACCCCGAAAATCACGTTTGATCATCGCAAAAATTGCTAGAAATCAATGATTTTTGGGGCTTGAAAATTTTTTCAGCAACTGCTGTTTTAATCCAGAAAACGAGGTTTGAAAGATTGTAAAAAAAAGCAAAGTGCCAAAAATGACCCATTTTTTGTAAAACCAAATTAAATATAACCCTAACTTAATTTAACCTAATCTAATCTAACCTAACCTAACCCAACCTAATCCATGCTTAGGTTAGCAAAGTACCGAAAATTATCGATTTCAGGTAACCCAAGGTTAGGTCAGGTTTAAGTTATTGACCAGTTTACTGGTCAAATGTGCCAATTAAGTTAAGTGATTTTTAACTCTTTTCTCGGTTAGCCTATTGAATTACGTTTTTCGGGATATAGGCTAATAGGTGCGTGAACAAGGTAGGCCAAAACCAGGTAGGTGCGTAACCAAAAGGTATTTGCCGCAAAAGTGGAGAGGGCTGCACTTTACTTTAGGTCCTACACTCATTCGAATGAAAATATTGATCAATATATTGATTAATCAATTGTTTCATTCGATATATCGTTTGGTTAAGTAGGCCTAGGTAAGGTTAACCTAACCTAACTAACCAAACGATATATCGAATGAAACAATCCATTAGGCTAATCGATATTTTATCATTCGAATGGGTGTAGGCCTAGGACCTAAAGTAAAGTGCAGCCGATATTAGAAAAGCCCAGTTAAGAAACTGTACCCAACCATATTATAAAATGACCCACTAATTACTGCAATAATTTGTTTCGTCTTGTTCATCAATAAATAAGTTAGAGCATTCAGCAAAGGCCCAGTCTAGGTTTGGTTGAAATACCTTTGAACAAATCTATGTAGGTATAACTTAACCTACAGGGCAGTCTAACATTTGTCCTTATGGAATAATTTACAGTATCTTTAAAATTAACATCACATAAAATACAACTTCAATAAAGCCAATTCGAGAAAAGCTGCTTGGCCAACCACAGTTTATACCACACATCACAACGCCGACCTCCATTGATTGCTTTCACACCCTGCATCCCGGATGTTTTGTTTATATAAATATTACAACGATATATTACTCAAATAACTTTAAGGAAACGCATTTAACTTGTAGATTTTTTAAATCATAAATTCCAAAAACCTACCTCTGCAAGGACAAAAGCGTTGAAATATTAGAGTAATATTAGATTTGACAAAGAAAGAGCGACACGACAAGCAAAGCAAGCCGACGAACGGGACACTTTTTTTTTAGTTCTTGTTTTCAGTCTTCTTTTCTCCTCCATCAATGAAGGCAGGTTGCTAAGTACAATGTCGTGTAAGCAAAGCAAAAAAGCAAACCTTATTATGGTTCGCGAACTCGTTCGCTTTTTTGTGAACCCAAATTGTTTCTCTAAAATAATATTATTTCAGATAAACAATTTGGGTTCACAAGAAAGCGAACGAGTTCGCGAACCATAATAAGGTTTGCTTTTCAAATACCTTAGATATAGATTATGTTATGGCTATAGGTCTTTAGTTGTCGCAGAGGTGGCGATCTCCTTTTTCATGGGGCCCTATTTTTGAAATGGTTGACTGTTGAGTTGAGTGTCGAGTCATTCTATTTCCAATCGTTTCGTATTTTTGAAACGGTTGACGGTGGACTTATACAACCAAAACTACTCAACACCTATCGAGCTGTTGAGTGGAGGTTGACTGCACTTTCTTCTTCCTCTCTTTCGGCAAAAAATTACTCTTTTTGAGACGACGCCATATTGTTTTGTTATTGCTTTAATTGCGATTTAGAGGTTATGTATTTGTTGTCAATGTATTAGCACCCAATTATGCGATTGTTTTCTGTAGAATAATCGCATTTTAATTTTATTTACTGTGTCAATACTAGACTATTTAATCAAGGGTTTTAATCTTGTTGGAATGTTTGAAATAGACTAGGCATACTAATTGAACTTATTATAAGATAATTATTGTTATTAGACCTATGATTTAAGGTATTAAAGATTGTGGTAGAGAGAAACAATATCATAGTCTGTTTCAGTACCATTCACCTAATAAAGGGATCAAATTAATTTAAGTTACGATATGCTTCCAGTGCAATGGCAAATAGCCGCTTTAACCTAAATAAAAAACAATTAAAAATAACATAAAACAAACCGATGAGATGAAGGAAACTAAAATAAGGTGATGTGTTCCGAAATAGAGACGAAGAAAGCAATTAATAATGTATTTAGGATTGTAGGACCTAAAGTAAAGTGCAGCCTATGCCTAAACTTATAATTAGCTACACCCTAAAACAAACATCCATAGTAAATTTTATTTTTAATACTTAAGTTTAGCCTTTAAAAGTTAAGGTACTTTGCAATCTCTAAGATTAAATTAAGCAAGACATAACCCATTATAACCTCAATCTCTCAAGAACGGAGTTGACAGTTTACCTCAGTGTCTCGAAATATGGCAGATTGAGATTAGCTGCCAGATTTTAGAGTAAAGCCTCGTTCACACGGGGCGAGTTTACAAGCTACACGCCAGCGTGTAAGAAGCCGGCGAGTTGGCGAGTGTGCTTGTATTCGTTCACACGGAGCTTGTCCACTAGCCAACTCGCCGGCGTGTAGAAAGACGCCGGCGAGTCGGCGAGTGCGCTTGTAGTCGTTCACACGATGCTTTTTCCACTCGCTCAGTAGCTGGCTTGAACCAAATCCTCCACCATCTTTGAATAACACGCGCACAAGCACAATCAACTGTGTTCACACTGGGCTACTTTACACGCCTACTTGCCCAAAAGCTGGCGAGTTGGCGTGTAAAGTAGCGGCAGCGTCAACTTTTTCCAGAGCTTTTTTACAAGCAGCTTTTGAGCGAGTACGTCGTTCACACTGAGCTATTTTACTAGCTGCGTGTAAAAAAGCCGGAGTGTAGCTTGTAAACTCGCCCCGTGTGAACGGGGCTTAAGAAGAGGTTAAATCGAAGTCCGCAAGAACTCTGCAATCTGCATTGTGATTGGTTCAAAATGACGTCATCTGAATTTTTGACGGTCGTATGCTCTACATTTCCACCACGAGTCTCTCAACTAGTGATTCCCAACTCGCTTCCCAACTGTTGGGTTTCAAAAATACCAAATCATGTTGTTGGTTGAGTTGAGTGCTGACGATTGACTCAACTGTCAACCATTTCAAAAATAGGGCCCATGGAGTGAGTTCGAGCTCCCTAACAAAGTGCCTCTCACTGATGTAAACCCACGGCCACCATTAACTACAGGCCGCGGCCTTCGAAATAATGGTAACGACGCAAGTAGGGTTGTAACAGCTGTTTTGTTTGGAAGCAGCTAATGATATTTGTGTATTTACGAAAGCTTGGTTACTGGACTATGAAAATATTGAGTCCACCTTTTAATGTACAAATACAGATTTTCAATAAATATTGTTTTGGTTTTCAATTCTGTATGTTTTATTTCCAATAGTGTTGACGGTGGTCAATCACTAGCTCATGTTCTTTAAGTTATTTTTGTATTACTATTTATATCATTTGCTTATTGTTCAACTTGAACAGATTGTAAATTAAATAAAGTTAAAAAAAAAAATATTTTGATAAATTTAAATGAATTATACGCGAATTAATGAGCTGGTGTCACCTGTTTGCCATGCTTTCTTAAGGGGCGTCTGACACTAAACAACACCACTTGCGACGATGCCAATTCTACCATGCCGAGGCCTGGAGTTAAAGGCGGCCGTGAGTAAAGCCCGGCAACAATTTGTTCTTATCGATGGCTAAGATTATTTAATACAGAAGTACAATAATATAGTGAGTTAGTTAGACCATAGTAATAATTGTAAATGTTGAAGCTCGTTTTTCGTGTCTACTTGTTCATGTTTGGTGATACAAATCGCCAGTATCGTTGGTATTTTCTTTATTATTTTAGGGTTGATTTCATGATATTTGCTTTATTGTTTGCCTATATTAGAGGACGAGTTATTGTTTATGATTATATCGTTTTATTTTGTGAAACAAGGTTTAAAATACTTAAATAACAAGTAAAAAATTGCAAACAAAACAAAAACACCAACTCTATATTGCACCCAAGGCCCCACTAGAAAAAAACATTGCACCAGACCAAGGCCCCACTTTTTTTCTAGTGGGGCCTTGACCAGACAGAACTAACAATAAAATTGGGTTCAGCTGTTTCATAAGGATGAGAAATCTACTAAGGGAGTATGTTTTATCTATGGTTAGATGGAAGACGAGTGGCATCTGGCCCTACAATTTAAATATATACATTTGAAATAGTATATGAACAATAATTCAAAATAGTATTTAGTCTAATACGTGTGGCTAGCCTGTTTGTCAATGGAATTGTCATTTATTTATTTACCAACGGTCAAACCAATACATAGGTATTGGTACATGTATTATAAATACATACCTAAATAATGACAAAAACTTTATAAGACTTTAGTTAAAAATCATCATCAACTCTATCCCCTCCCACTGCTTCGTAAATTTATCTGCTCCTCTCCTCCTCCTCTTCCATCGTTTTATGTTCTCTTCTATTATCCATCCATTATCCTATCCTATCCATCCGATCCTTATATTTTCCATCCAAAGTAAAATTCCATTCCACTCACTCTTCCCTTCCTTTACTACTCATTGACTATATAACCACAACAACACAACTTCACTCCACTCCACTGTCCACTCCACATTTTCCAAATTCCAATTTAAATTCAACTTCAACGCGTCATCGTGCTCCGCTCCCGGCTTCACGTAATTATCTATACCGTCGTGAAGTTAGCGGCTCTTTTCATCGGCGCTTTTTTGGTTTGTAATAGATGTGGGTTGGTACTCCTGCGGACGCCACAAACGTGTTTTGCAGGGATGTCGGAAACCCAATTCAATGACAATACGGTGCGAAATGATGTTTTTATATTTATATAATCTTACTAATATTATAAATGTGAAAGTTTGTGTGTTTGTTTGTTTGTTTGTTTGTTTGAAGTTCAATCACGCATAAACCACTGGACGGATTGGGCTGAAATTTGGCATAATGATAGCTTACATTCCCGATTAACATATAGGCATATTCTTATCTCAAAAATCCTTTCGGGCTCCGCCCCAGTGGCTCTGTAATTCCCCATGTTAACCTTATGAGTATTCATATTTAAAGGGAAGTACCTGGGGACCGAGCTTTGCTCGGGGAAAATTATTACTTTACTCTGAAAAGTATTGCAGATACATTAATCCACTCCCAATCTCCACACTGCTAACCTTCACTACTTACTTCACCACTCCGTACGTCGTGGACCTGTTTGCCCTCCTTCCCTATACCATTTTAGAATTGCATATACATAAATGCCACAGACAGTTCCCACACTCTGCACTGCTAGCATTACTACTTCCTACACCATTTCCTACGTCATGGACCTGTTTTCCTCTCCTCCCTTCTCGTAGCATTTTAGGATTGTAGATACCTTAATGTAGTTCCCATAAACAGTTTCCAGGCTCCAGACTGCTCGCCTTTACTACTTCCTTCACCACTTCCTACGTCGCGGACCTGTTTCTCCCCCTTCCAATGGCATTTTAGGATTGCAGATACCCTAATCTAATCGTCATTAATAGTTCCAACACTCCAGGCTGCTTGCCTTTACTACTTCCTTCACCTCTTCCTACGTCGCAGACATGTTTCCCTCCATTCCCATAGCATTTTAGGATTGTAGATACCTTAATCTAATCGTCATAAACATTTCCCACACTCCGGACTGCTCACCTTTACTACTTCTTTCACCACTTCCTATGTCGCAGACCTCTTTCCCTCCATTCCCATTGCATTTTAGGATTGTAGATTCCTTAATCTAATCGTCATAAACAGTTTTCACACTCCAGACTGCTCGCCTTTACTACTTCCTTCACCACTTCCTACGTCGCGGACCTCTTTCCATCCCTTCCCATAGGATTTTAGGATTGCAGATTCCTTAATCTAATCGTCTTAAACAGTTTCCACACTCCAGACTGCTCGCCTTTACTACTTCCTTCACCACTTTCTACGTCGCGGACCTGATTCCCTCCCTTCCCATAGCATTTTAGGATTGTAGATAACTTGTTTTAATCGTTATTAACAATTCCCACACTCCGGACTGCTCACCCTTGCTACTTCCTTCACCACTCCCTATGTCGTAGACCTGTTTGCCCTCCTTCTTTATACTATTTTAAAATTGCAGATACATAAATGCCACAGACGGTTTCCACACTCTGCAC